CCCCGGCCCTGCTCCAAGTTTCTTTAATCACAACACTGGAGAACCTGAAATATTTGTTCACACATAGGTGCTGAGTGAGAGATGATTCACTTCTCCATTGCACAGCGGTCTTTCTCTGCAGCTGAGCTCTACACCTGGGACAGCTGCTGCTGCTGCCTCTCTGACCCTGGCCCTCCAGTCCTGTGCACTCCCCTTGTGTACTCCCTAACCCCAAGTGCTCTCCTGCTATGTCTGGTCCAGGCCTCACCTGCAGGCCAACCCGTCCTCTCCCTTAGCCCTAAGCCTCATTAAACTCGGCTGTCAGCTATACTTGGCTTTTCACTCCTTCCTCTGTTCTTCCCAGCTAGATCATAACTCATCCTGCAAGACCACCTTTAAATCCCTCCTAAGGCCTCCTGCTACCCGCACTCTTCCCTGACTGGTGAATTCCAGTGGGCCTTGTCTCTCCAACCTTGTGGGGCTGTGTGGAGAGGGAGCCCACAGTCCTTCCTCAAAGCCTTGCTGAGCAGTGTGTGCTCCGAGATTGAGTCAGTGGGCTGGAGTCGGGTTAATGTCAGCAAGTGCCTGGATCCCCTGGAAGATAGCTGGGGGAGGCATCCAAGACAGGAAAATTCTTGGAGAGGAGTGAGGCTGGCCCTGCAGTCAGCCCACAGCATGTTCTGGGTGGGGCGGAGCCAGGCCCTGCCCCCACCCTTCAGCCCTAGCCACACGGCTTCATCAAAGTGGCTCCAAGGCTCAGGAGGGCCTGCCAAGGAGCAGGAGGATGAGTGCAAGGCGTGGGCAGGAGGCAGTAGCAGTCTGGGGCGGCAGGAGCTGGAGCTCTGCAGACAAAAAGGCCAGGAGGCGGAGTCAGCACCAGGAAACCTACTGGATGCATGTCTGCAAGGTGCTGAAGCAGGTGAGGGCAGGCAGCCGCTGATGCAAGTGCCCCAGAGGGCACTGGCCTGGGCTCAGAGACTAGGATGATCACTTCTCATTTACAGCATGCTCCCACCCCTCTCAGAGCATCGCAGGCACTGGGCACACAAGGTCCGATGTTGAGTCTGGGGTGAGACAGAGGCCGAGTGTGACTTGCTGCTGAACACGTCATGGCCCTGATGTGGATGGTTGCCCTGAGTCTTGGGAAGGCCTGGACAGGTGGCGCTGGCTCTGAAGGCTTAGGGTTTGCCTACTTTCTTTCTTTTTGAGATAGGGTCTCTCCATGTAGTTCAGGCTGGCCTTGAACTTACGATGTAGTCCAGGCTGGCCTCCAACTCATGGTGATCCTCCTGCCTCAGCTTCTCAAGTGCTGGGATTTCAGGTGTGCACCACCACACCTGCCAGGATTTGCCTACTTTATAAATGACGCTTCATGCACAGAGATTCCATGCGACAGCTGTCACGTGGCCTGATAGTGGCAATGCCCACCTGGGCAGCTCTGGCTTTGGGCAAGCCCCTGGGATCCTTCCTGCATGGCCCTCGCCCTGATACTAGGTTCAGGTGCCTGTCGTTCATGCATGAGAAGCAGGGGTCCCAGGATTTGGCACCTTGGAAAACACACTGGGGTGCCAAGGAGGCAAGTCACTGGCCTGTTCAGCAGAGTGGGAAGAGACACAGGTGGCTGTGGTGGGGTGCTAGAGCTCCCCAGCCTGCCTAAAATTCCTGCCTCTGCAGTAGGTTAGGTTCCAGAATGGGAACTGTCTGGGGCTTAGCCAAATTTCAGGGCTCCAACTGTAGAAAAGGTTAAACCAGGCCTGGACTGGGAGCAGCAGATGCCTGAGAGTTGGTCCCACTGTGAATGCTCACCCCAGTATCCCTAAGGACTAGATGTGAAGATGACAGGGGATTTGGGCTCACTCAGCCTTGAACAGCTATAGACTTCTACTGGCAGTGGCCACCAGAGGCAGTAGGTCGCTAAGCATCAGGAGCCCGGGCTAGTTCTAGTTTTGCCTCCCCCGCTGGCTTGGCATGGGCCGTGGGCAGTTGCTTCACCCCTACTGTCCAGCTGCCTGCAGCTTAGGTTCTCACCAGGTTCCTACCATTTGTGTTACTAGAGATCACCCAGTTCAAGGCTTGTGTGACAGAAAAGGAAACTGAGGCCCAGAAGAATGTGTCTTTCTCAAGGTCATAATGATGGATGGTTGGTCCAGATTACGTCACCTGACTTTGGTGATATCCAGTTCTCGATAACTGTCTCCCCAGTTAAATGCACAAACCCTTTGACCAGTCGTCCCACCCATAGGAATTACCTGTTATGCTCATGCAGGGTTGTAAGACACAGACTTCCTATAGCACAGTCAAACAGCAGACAGCAAGCCCAAAAATGTCCACTAAGGAGGAAGTGGTGATAAGAACCCAGATTCAGCCACACTGTGATCGCCATCCCAATGCACTCGGTGCAAAAGCTGGAGGCATGTGTAACCGGCCCCATTTGTTAAACACGGATGCTTATGAGTGTTTATACAAGGAACTTAATAGTGTTACTCTGCAGGTGGAGAATCTGCTTCTTTTTTTCTTTTTAACCTTGCTATACACCCACGTGTCCTGTAACGATGGGGACATGTTCTGAGAAATGCATCATTAGCCAATTTCATCCCTGTGGGGACGTCATAGTCTCCATGCACAAGCTGAGATGGCTGTGACCATCACTAGGCAATTTAATCTTATGGGACCACTGTCATATATGCGGTCTGTTGCCCGAAACGTCATTATGCGGCGAGTGAGTGTGGCAGCGAAAAGAAAACACAAATCCCCACTTCGTTGTCTGATGGCCCTGTCTCTGATCTCCTGGAGCACCCAGCTCGGGCAGGGTGGAGGCTGTGGTTCAGGCTGAGCCCTGTTAACACCCTGGTCCTGCTTCTCCAGGTGAACCCCAACACGGATCTCTGCCAAGGCCATGGGCATCATGGACTCCTTCCTGAACGATGTCTTCAAGTGGCTGGCAGGGGAAGCTGCCCAGCTGGCCCAGTACTCTGCCAAACCACACTGACTTCCCGGGAAGTCCAGAGAGCCGTGTGCCTGTTGCTGCCCGGGGAGCAGCCGGAGCGCTCTGTGTCCGAGGGCACCAAGGCCATCACTGAGTATCTCAATTCCAAGTGAGCCCCAGCCTGCCAGAAATAAAGGGCAACCTTTTCCCGAGCACTGTGGTGATTTGAGATGTGTGGAGCTGCAGTGTTGCTCAGGGTAGATTTGCCTGCCTGGCACACGTGAGCCCCTGGGTTCAGTCCAAAGTACCACAACAATGAATGAATAAATGAAGGGCTGGGATGTAACTCAGTGGCACCACACCTGCCTGGCAAGCACAAGGTCCTGAGTTCCATCCATGGTTCCACAAAAAAAAAAAAAAAAAAGAATGAATGAATGGGAAGAACAGGGTGAAGCCAGGATATGGGCCAGGCAAGGGTAACTTTTTGAAGTACTGGGAATCAAACTCAGGACTTTGCACATGCGAGGCAGGCACGGTGCCACTGAGCTGCACCCCTGGCCCTCCATAACACATATTTTAAAAATCCTGTTTCTTGGATGTGTTCTGTGAGCGACAGGTAATAATGCTTTGTATGGATTTGACTGTTCTCCTTGGTAAGGAGTTGCAGCAGGGCTGGGGATTTTCCCCTCTCTGGGCCTGACAGCCCTTGGGGTGGTACTTGCAGGCTGTAGGTCTGTGACTGCTTCTCACAGGCTGGCATGGTGTCCTGTATGGTAAGCACTGCTGGGGGAAGGAGCTGTGCAGGGTTTTTTTTTCCTTTTTCAGTACTAGAGATTGAAGCTAGGGCCTTTGCACTGAGCTACATCCCAGCCCTTTTTCATATATAAATATATATTTTTAAAATTTTGAGATGAGGTCTTTCTAAGTTGCTAAATTGTCCAGACTGGGTTTGAGCTTATGATCCTCCTGCCTCAGCCTCTCAGAATTCTGGTATGACAGGCATGTGCCTCCATGCCTAGCTTCTAATCTTCAAGACATAAAACCAGAATGGGGCCAAGGATTTAGCTCAGTGGTTTCGCCGCCTGCTGCGCAAGCGCAAGGGTCCGAGTTTGATCGCCAGTACCAAAAAGAAAACCTGAAAGTCTGACCAGTTTATAAGAAACTGCTGAACTGGACATGGTGGCACACCTGTAATCCCAGCACTTGGGAGGGTGAGGCAGAAGGATCACCATGAGTTCAGGGCTGGCCTGGGCTATATAGTAAGTTCAAGGCCAATGTGAACTACATCCATGAGCTGAGAACCTCGCTCTTCCTCTTTGTTCCTCACTTATTTACTTATTCATAAGCCTCTACTTCACACTGAGCCAAAAGTCACCCCTGGCTGACTGGAATCCGCTGCTGCTGGTAAAATGTTCTTGTTTTCTGAAGCCTGGCCCCCTGGGCATTCTACTGCCACAATAGGGATCCCATGGAGGCCTGCAGAGGAGCCCCAGGTACAGAGGGGACAGCGGGGACTTCAGGACCTTCTGACCTCAGACCCAGTGGCCTTTTCCCTCCCATCAGCAGGCCTCCCATAATGGTACCATACAATAGAATGGCAGAGCAGGGGAGAGTGGCGTATGCCTGTAACCCCAGCCCTCAGGAGGCAGAGACAGGAGGATCACCATGAGTTTAAGACCAGCCTGGGGAGCACAGCAAAACTCACCTCAAAAAGAAAAAAAAGCCTGGGGATTAAGGAAAGGAAGTTTCCTTTGGAGGAGAAGTCAAAGTTAGAGTAATGCTTTTAGGACAAGTTTATCCAGAGCTTCACAGTTTACAAGTGACTTCAAATACTGATGGCTATTTGTTTCATTCTCTCAAGGAAAGTCACCCCGGGGTCCCATGGGCTGTCCATCTTCACCCATGACGCTTTCCATGTGCTGCTTGCAGGAAGCCCTCCTAGACTGGTGTCCCCAGGCTGCATCCCAGATTCTGCAGCCTTAGAACACTGTGTTAGAACCCTCAACCCAGGCTGTTCTGCCCGGCTTAGGAGAACCAGCGAGGTTCTTTGGGTTACACAGTCAGGTCACAAAGGGTAGCGTGAGGGGTGGGCGCCATGTCTGAGGGGTGAGTGAGGGCTGGGGGTTCCTGAGGGCCCCCAAACAGGGTTTGCTATATAGTTCATGCTGGCCTCCAACTCCTGGCAATCCTCCTGTCTCAGCCTCCCGAGTGCTGGGATTACAGGTGTGGGCGACCACACCTGCTCTGGGCCTCCCAAGCCTCCACCCTGGGCCACTTCAGCGCTTGTCTCAGACTCCCCCACTCGCAGGAGCCCCAGCCACAGGAATGCTGGTCACCATTCTCTCTGCTCACCAGCCAGGTTGCCAGCACCCCAATCCCACCCTTCTCTGAGCCAGGCTGGTCCCCCACAGTCCCTTGCCCAACCCACTCACAGAGTCCACTTGGCACCAGGGGGATGGCGCTCCTGCTAGGACCCCAAGCTCAGTCCTTCCTGGTGGGCACACCTACCCCTCCCCGAGGCTCAGAGCCTCTGTGCTGTCCTCTCCAGCGCTTACCAGCACCTCTGGGTGGCCTCCCACGTGACGCTGCAAGAGCTGCTGGGCCGAGAGCAGGTCCTGCTGGATTCAGTGCCAGGCTGGGAGTGCCAGGCCTTCCAGTACCAGCTCTCAGTGCTCTACCTGCGCTACCTGGGGCTGCTGCGCCAGTTCGATGCCATCTACGAACAGATGGTACAGCTGCAGAAGCGCCTGCTGCTGTGGCGCCTGCTGGATGGAGTGGCAGGCCGGGTGCTGGAGCTCAAGGATGAGCTGGTGCGCATAGACCTGTGCGAGACCCACTGCCTGGACCGCGTGTTGCAGGACCTCGGGCTGACCCCGGTGTGTGAGGCACCCGGGCTGGGAGGGTGCAGCGAGGGCCCTGGCCTCCTGTGGGCATCACCAGTGTGGGGACTGTGTAACAGCGGGAAGGTAGTGGACCCTGGCCTCAGGAAGGGGCTTCAGGGATGGGCAGCACAGTCAGGCTCCACCCACCATGGCCAGAAGACCAGAAAGAGCAGGGCATGGATGAGGGGGGTCTGCCTGTGGCTCCTCCAGATGGGGTCCCTGGGCCAGCAGCTGACCGTCACCCAGCAGCCTGCTGCTCACAGGAATCTCCAGCTGCACCACGAGCCCACTAGCGCTGCTCCTGCCTTGTCGCAAGGCTCCCAGGTGATCTGTGTGTGTGGCCAAATTCTAGACGTACTCTAGAGCATAGAACTACTGTGAGGCCTCCAGTCCTGCCCCAAGGTCAGGGTTTGGTCACCGCTCCCCAGCCAAGTCAGCCTCAATGTTTCCCTGACCTGGCTTGGGAAAAAGAGGCAGATTTCAGGGCCAGGGATTTAGCTCAGTGGTTCCGCCGCCTGCCTTGCAAGCGCCAAGGACCCGAGTTCGATCCCCGGTACCAAAAAAAAAAAAAAAAAGAGGCAGATTTCTTAGGCAGTGCTGTTCTGCTGTGGACATTTGGGGAGGGCCCAGGAGTCTGCAGAGTAAAAGCTCCCCAGTGAGGCACAGCCAGATTTGGGCCATGAACTTTCCCAGGATCCTCCAGAGTTCAACCGGGGTGGGGGTGGGGGTGGCCCACACCTCTAACCCCAGCACATGGGAGGCTGAGGCAGGAGGATCACTGCAAGTTTGAGGCCAGCCTGGACTACATAGTGAGTTCAAGCCTAGCCTAAAACTACATAGCGAGATTCTTGTCTCAAAAAACAAAAACAAAAAAAAACTCAACTCAGGCTAGACAAGGTTGCAGGGCAAGGAAGGGATTGACCCTTGGGGGACTCCATCTCATACCCCATACCACAGAAATTTCCCACTGCGGGGCTCTGGAGGGGAGGAGACAGGTAGGTGGGTAAAATGGTGATGGATGGCCTGACAGCTGACAGCCAGGATTCTGTACCTGACCCTCCTCCCTTACTATGTCCCAAAGGCAGACCTCGAGGTTCCAATTCCCAAATACTCCCAGCTGGAGCAGTCCAGCACGGTGAAGGAGTGGCAGCAGAAGCTGGCCAAGATCCTATCCAGGACGGTGGTGACCCAGGAAATAAGGAGGGGGGTGCCCTGACTCCTTCCACACCCTCTCCAGGGACAGAGGCTGTGCCCTGCAGGCCCCACTCACCCCCAAACCCCACGCTGCACAAAAGCTGTCCCTCATGTTGCCTGCTCTGTTCCCATTCTCCACCCAGAGCCCTCCAGGAATGCACAGGACAGAGGCCATCATCCTGGTGCAAAGTGCCAAGCACTCAAGGCGAGGGCGGCTCCGAGCTGACTTCACTCGAGAGATCCGGAGAGAGGAGGAACGGGATCGGAAGGTCCAGGAGGACAAGCCGCACAAGTTCCGTCAGGACCAGGCGGCTCTGGGCATGCAGAAGGTAACCTTGGGGGCTGGAAGGAGGCCGAGGGCCTGGCCAAGAAGCCTCCCAGGCTCAGCAGCTATTGGGCTCATGGGAGTGCAGGTTCTGCTGCCCCCTGGCCACAGCCCACGCTGAGGGGTGGGCCTTCACCAGTCAGCATCTATCTTACCGGCTTATTATTCAGTCTATATCTCTATCCTAAACGGATTTGGAGTAGGATACCATCAAAGCCCGAGCCACAGAAGTAGCAATGAAATGAAGATTAGGAGAGCCAGACCTGCTGGTGCATGCATGTAATCCCAGCACTCTGGGAGGCTGGGGCAGGAAGATTGCCAGGAATTCAAGGCCAGCCTGGGCTACACGGTGAGTTCAAAGCCAGCGTGTCCTACATAGTGAGACTCTGTCTCAAAAACCCAAAAAACTACAAGTAAAAAAAAAATCTAAGAAAAACAAATCTAAGAAAGAAAGAATAGCAGAACAGTAAATGATCATTCCAAAAATTATAACTGTAAAAAACAAAACAAAAACACCCACTGAAATATACCCTGTGCCTCGTGGTGAACTGGAGTTTGACAACTGTGACCTGAGTACCCTGAAGCTCTGTCTTCCTAGGGTCCCCTTTACTTCAGCATTGGAAGAGCACCATCACCCCTACCCTGTTCCCTATACCCGCCGGGGTCTGGACAAGTCCTCCACCCCCACAGCTCTGTGGACCTCGCCTCTCCTCCACTCCCAGAAATGCTGCTGCCGTGGGCTGCCAGAGCAGAGAGGCCTGAGGAAGTTTGCGGTGTGGCAGGCAACAACTCCCTGCCCTGGAGGCTGCTGTTGGGCCAGACAGCCCTGATTTGTCACAAAGTCTCTTGCCTCCTTTTCCTTCCAGAAACCCATGCAGACATGAGACTGGGCCTTGCTTCTCTCTCAAATCAACCTCCTCTCCCACTTTCTGTCTCTCAAGTCCCAGTGCCTTAAAGATTTCTTTCTCCAGGGCCGGGGATTTAGCTCAGTGGTTTCTCCACCTGCTGTGCAAGCACAAGGACCCGAGTTGGATCCCCGGTACCCAAAAATAAAAAAGATAAAAGATTTCTTTCTTCAGCCCACTAGAGAAAGAGTACACCCTCTTCCCCCTAAACCGCAAGAGCAAATCATCAAATAAATGACCATTCTGTGAAGGTACAGGGGTGATCACAATATACAGTTACTGTTTAAACTTAAATTTTTATTATAGTAAAAGACACATTGCCATTAATCCTCTCAAAATCCTCCTCCTCCCTTCAAACACACTCTTCCCATCAGTCTTCCACTTTCTGCAGTAGCTCTGGAGTCCTCTTTCATGTCTTTATGATTACAAATATGGTGAATGCTACTGCCAAGTGCCATCCTGTGGAAAGGCAGGCTCATAAAAACATGATGCCGTGTCCTCATCCACCTTATTCACTGGATCTAGCACCATGTGACTTCTGGCTCTTCCAAACTCAAAATGATAATGAAAAGTCAACATTTTGAATCCATTCAGGTCATCAAGGCAGCTGTGATGACACAACTAAAGACCCTCATGAAAGAGCACTTCCAGAGCTGATGCAGAAAGTGGCAAGAATAATGGGATCAGTGTAAGCGAAGTGAGGGGGAGGATTTTGAGGGAGATTCATGGCAATGTGTCTGTAATAATCTTTAAGAAGTTCAACATTCACTGTAGTTTGCAATCACACCTTATATATCCTTCCCAAAGGGGATAGAGTTTACTTTATCACTCAGGACACTGAGCATTCTGCCTGCACTTGTGTGTGAATGACACACCAGTGTCCACCCAGGTGGGGAGGAGGACACACCTCTGCCCATCCTACCCAGAGCATGCTGTCCTTGTCATCAGACAGGAAAACTACAGAAATATGCATTCCAATCTTAAGAGTTCTCCATCCAGCACACGAATAAAAGGGAAGGACATAGAAAGCACCCAATTATTGTGGGCCATCCTGTCCTGGCTGCAGGACCAGGAAGCCCGGGCCCAGAAAGTGCCAGAGGCTGATCCTGTTCATGGGGGTGCTAGCATGGGAACAGGAAGCTCAGGTTGGGTGCTGGCCCTGCCCCCTTCTACCACCCCACCTCCCACCCACTGGCACTCAGCTGTCCCAGGGCTGGACATGGTTGGGGAAGGGCTCTGCACTTGGTGTGGGCAAGGCCATGTGCCTTCTCTGGCCCCGTTCCCTGGGCCTGGTATGGAGGCCTGTAATCCCAGCACTGTGGGAGGCTGAGGGAGGAGGATAACAAATTCCAGCCCAGCTTGGGCTATTTATCAGCTTGATAAGAACTTGTCTCAAAATAAAATACCAGAAAAGGGATGGGGATGTAGCTCAGTGCAAAGGCCCTGGGTTCAATTCTCAGTACTACAAAAAAACCAAAACAAAACCAAAAAGCCCTGTAGTATTAACTAGAGGAGCTCTTGCTAAGGAGGTGCTTATCCGGCACACCTTAGATCCCCTCTGCGATGAGCCTGGAGACCCCCAGGCCTGAGGCCCACCCTTCCACATGCTGTGTGGAGAGCACCTGAGTACCATGCATCCCCACCCCAGGTGTGAAAAGGTCACCAGCAGAGGAAGCGCACCCAGCAGGACCGGCTCGAGGAGATGGAGTTCATCGGCATGGTGAGCCAGCCTGGCCACAGCAGGGGCCTCCCGGTCTTGAACCTTTGGGCCTGGTGCCAGCACACAGCCCTCTCCAGCCTCACAATGCCCTCGATCCTCCACTCAGGCTGGGCAGGAGACCCTGGAGGAGAGAGAAGCAGAGGAAAGGGAAGCCACCAAGACAAACCGCTCTTACCCCTTCTTCTTCTAGAGCCCCCAGAGAAATCTCAAATGAGGAGGGCAGTATCACAGAGCATCACAGCCCTGTGTCCCTTCACAGCTGAAGGAGAGGCTGCAGGGTGGTAGAGGAGGGAGGAGGTTGCACAGGCAGCAGAACTACCCTGTGCCCCCAAGGCTGGATGTGTTGGGGTGGCCCACACCCCGAGCTCCCCACTTGCTTCGGGGTCCAGATTTGCCTCTCTTCTGCTGTCCCGGGAATATGGCTAAGTGTGGATTGCGTGGTATGAGTGTATGTGTGTACAGGCAGGTAAGCAGTCCCATCCCTGAATCTGCTCTCTGCTCTCTGACTGTCCCCTGCAGCAGGGAGTTTCCACTAAATGGGATAGGTGAGTACTGGCAGGGATAGGATCGGGGGTCCCTGGGGAGCCAGGCTTTGGCCTGGGAAGCCCCCCAGAGGCCTGGTTGACACAGGAGGAGGTGGGGGCCAGGCTGGGCTCCAAGATGGGAGGGAAGTGCGTTTCCCTGGGGAGGCACCAAGTCTTGGCAAGTTGGGCCACCACGGGCTGTGGGATAGGAGTGGAGGTCAGAGACTTGCTGGCCTGAAGAGCTGGACCCCCAGGAGGGAGAGCAGCCGGAGGGAGGTGGGGCTGGCCTTGGCGGGGAGAGGTTGGGGGGCACAGCAAGGCGGTGGGTGAGGAATGAGCCTGGCCGCCTGGGCCCATCAACAGTGTGAGCTCAGCGTTTTCAGTAATTGTCTCTGCGCAGAGTGATATTTAAAATACATTTGGGAGCCAATGAGGCGGGAAAGTGGCTTCCAGAGCGGCTGCCAACTCGGCCTCGGGTGGGGCGGTGGGGGCTGGGGCCGGAGGCTTCGGGGAGGGGGCGCTGGGCGGGCAGGGGGCCAGCCAGGACGCTTCCAACAAAGTCATTATCAGAGTAATTTACACAGACGTGCTTCGGCATGGAGCACGGTTTCTCCGGATGCAGGCATGCTCGTGGGTCCGGGAGGGTGTACTGGCAGGGAGTTGCGGCAGGTGCCTCCCACCACCTGCGCCCCCAGCCTGATAGCCTCTGTCCCATGTCCTCCAGCTCCCCACACCCAGCCAGGCAGAGCCCTTGGGTAGCCTGTGGAAGGCCACCCTTGGGGAGGAAACCCGCAGGCTCCACCGGAAGGAAATGGAAGAGGGGTTCCACGTGGCTAGGGTGAAGGCCCAAGAAGCTGTCACAGAAACCAAAGGGCCTGACGTGAAGGAGCGTATGAGGGAGCAAATCCGACAGTGGTTTATGGGGTGGCGGTCAGTGTCCAGAACCTCGGGGTCCCACCCTCATTCCCTCTTCACCCCAGCACCCCGAGTTGTTCCTGCCTCGTTCTCCCACTGGTTCTCTCCTCTAGTCCAGATTGTCCCCCAACGCCCTGCTTGGTGTTAAACTCTTGGTTTAAACCACGAACCTCCAATGTACAGGACCAGCTCTGCACTCGACTTCCCACCTTCCAGAGAGAAGAGGAGACGCCAGGATTCGGTGGGGAAGGCGTCCACAAATGGCCCCAGAGCAGTCTCTCCTCTGTATTCCATTCCATCACTTCCCATTCCTTCCCTCTTTCCTCTGTCTCTCTGTTCCTTTATCTTCTCCATCTCTCTGTCCATCCATTAGCTTCCCATCCGTCCACCCATCTGTCCACCCACCGTTCCTATCATTGATCCACCCATCCACCCATCCGTCCACCCATCCGTCCGTCCATCTGTCCATCCCTCCCTCCATCATCCATCCGTCCTAGCACTTACCCATCTGAGCATCCAGACCTACTACTCTCTTCCCACCCGTCCTTCCATCTGTTGATCCACCTATCCACCCGCCTACCCACGCTCCCACCCATCCACCTGTCTGTCCAAGCACCCACCCACCTCTCCAACTGCCCGTCTCCAACCATCTGGTGTCCACATGGTGCCATTCCCAGCCGGTTCCCTGATTATCCAGACCAGTCATTAGGTGGATCCCGCCTGATCTTTGCTGACAGGACTCTGGAGCAGGTACCCTAGCAGTGAGAACAGGAGGGGTTCTGTGGCAAACACAGCCTGAGGTTACAGAGAATAGTGAGTGGAAACAGAATGGTGGTAGGGTGGGGAGGGTTATCTTCTGTGGAGGCACATGTGACCGTACAGAGGGCACAAGGGTGGCTAGAAAGATGGTGTGGGCCTGGAGAAGACAGCCCTGACCCCAGAGAGGAAATGGTCTGAGGCCATTGTGGCTCCAGGTCCCCAAGGTGCAGGAGTGTGCAGCAGCCTCGGTCAGAACAGCCCTTTCTCGAGGACCCCAGTACGAGCTGCATGCTCAGCCATCTGGACCCTGGCAGTGTCCTCGGCTTTGGGAATCCTGGTCCATACTATTCCAGCCCATGGTTCTCGCCCCTGTAAGATTCCCTGGTCTCCAAACACTTGTCATGGGCTGCAGGTGAAAATGGAACTGCAGATGCAGCCCCAGGAGAACAAAAAGAAGGCGAACAAGACGAGTAAAGAGAGAGACCAGGAGAAAAAAGAGAAAAAGAAAGGGAAGGAAGAAAAGGCCAAGAAGGGGGTAAGACAGTCTCTGGCACAGGTGGGAGGGAAGAACCAGGCTGGCCAGGGTGAGAGTCAAGCAGAGTTGAAAACTGTTGGAGGTGAAGAAGTCAAGGCCAAAAGCCTGCTTCTTTTGCTGTTTTTTGAAACAGGGTCTCACTGTGTGATTCAGGCTGGCCTTGAACTCATGGCGATCCTCCTGCCTCAGCCTCCGGAGTGCTGGGATAATAGGTGTGCACCATGCCTGGCAAAAACATGTTTCTGTTCTAGGAAGTGGAAACAATGTTGAAAGTGTTGCCCTCCAAATTTATACCTGGGATGAGCATGGGACGCCAGGAATACACAAGTAAGAAGGAGGACGCTGCTGGAACCTGTTGATCTTGAGGGGACTTGGTCATGGGGAAGTGGCATCTGACGTGTGGACCTGAGGTGGCCACGGGGGGCATGTCTGTGGAAGGCACAGCAGTGATTCCTTGGGTCAGAGTGGTATGCGTTTGGGTCTGAACCCTGTGGTCACAGGGCTTGGGGTGAAGCCCTGGATAAAATCAGTGCCAATGGGCTGGGTGGGAACAGGATGACTGGCTGGGGTCAGTGTGTGCACGCATGTGTGTGGGTGTGTGCTCGTGCATGTGGGACTCGGGCTTCGTGTACTCCTTTGCTTTCTGCGATCAGATGTGTGGAAGAACCGGAATGAGAACAAACACTCCAGCTGGAGTGTTGACCCTGAGATCCTCCGGGAGGAAAAAGGGGACGGAAGTGGAAGTGGGGATCCGAGCACAGGTGTGAGGCTGTTGGGACCCTTGGGCCGCCCCTCCTGGGCCTCTCCTTGCCTCCTCCTGGCCTTCAGCCTGTACTAAGGTATCCAGCTCATCCTCTGTAGGCCTCGCTGCCCCCAGGCATAGTTCTTGCTCTACCTTCAGCCCTGCCACCCCACCTTCCTGAGGCTCCCCCTTGTCCCCTGTCTGTCCCCTGTCAGGATAGGGGAGGGGAGGAAAGGAGCCAGGCCGAGCCCCTGCTGCCTTCTCCCTCCTTGCCTGGGTCTTCCATGAGGGTGCCCCTCCTCTCTGCCCGCCTCCCCCGCCTCCTGCCCCCCACATGGCATCCCCATCGTGTCCCCAGGTAGATGAGCTCATGCAGCAGGAGCTGAAGAACCTGCGTCTGGCCATGGACAAGGAGGCTGGGAGACCCTTGAAGGCTCCGAAGGTGGATGGGGGCTGCGGCTGGCAGAGGAGGGTACGTGAGGGTGGGGCAGTGGAGATCAAGGACAGTCACCGTGTGCTTCTCCTACCCAGAAAAAGCCTGGCAAGAAAACTGGGAAGAAGAAGGAAAACGATCTGACCCCAAACAGGTAGGCTTGTGGCCGCCATGCTGTGAGGGTGCCTGTGCCCAGTCGAGGGAGGTGACCTGACCTCGGGTCCTGGTCCTGCTGTTGGGTGGCCTTGGGAAAGTCGGGTCACCAATCTGGACCCTTGGCCTTGCTCACCGACTTCCTGCCTTTGAAAATGAGAGTGCAGACTAAGATCTCAACAGGGCTCATGATAACCGTCGCTCCCCTCTTCCAGGCCCCCCAGTCCCCACCCTCACCCGGTCTGTCCCCTCGGAGCCATCTCCCCCATGGTTTCCCCACCCCAGCACCGAGGGACCCGCCTGTGCCCCTTTCCACCCCATTTCTGGTGTCACCAGCTCACTGATTTTAGTGCCAGCCCTCTCTCCAAGAATTCACACCCTAAAGCTGGTTTCAGGAAGAGGGTCAGGGTACCCCGGTGGTGGCGTTTGGGGCATGAGAGGCGGACGGCGAGTGTCACAGGGGCTGCTGGCCCTTCTCACATTCCCATCATTCCATGGGGCACCCACTGTGGGACACCTACCGCAGAGACAGTGGTCAGGGCTGCATCTTCTGCTTTCGCTGTGGGTGTTCCTGACCGCTGGGAGGGTCCCTAGCATCTTCCCAAAAGAGTTAAAGACCTCATAGCACAGTGATGCCTGCGTTTGATACCCATGTTTCTAACAGCACGACTCATCAGAGCTAAATCTGGGAGTGGAGAGAGAAAACATGATATTTATGCACAGAGCAGCACTACTTTGCCATAAAGAAGGATAAACTTGAGTCATTTGTAGGAAAATGGAAGCACCTTGAGACCACGTTAAGTGAAATAAATCAGACACGTACAAGCTTAAATATCACATGGTTTCTCTCAAATGAGAAATCCAAATTATAAATAAAGAGCAAATTAGATCTTTTGCAGATAGGGAGGGGACCAAGAGGTGGAGGGAGGCGGGAGGGGTGTGTAAAGAGTTCAGATGTAGGGCCGGGGATTTAGCTCAGTGGTTCTGCCACCTGCCTCGCAAGCGCAAGGACCCGAGTTCGATCCCCGGTACCAAAAAAAAAGAGTTCAGATGTGCGACACCCATGCACCACCTCCCTGCAAGGAATAATGATATATACAGATGTGTACCAAGACATTTTTTAAAACTCAACGAGAGAAGCCAGGGATGTAGCCCAGTGGCAACATGCCTGCCTGGTAAGTGCAAGGTCCTGAATTTGATCCCCAGTACCGGAAAAACAAACAAACAAACAAACAAACAAAAACCCTTGAGATTATCCTTTAAAAAAAAAAGTTAGGCAGGAGACACTGTCCCCTCTCCTCTGCTGACACAGATCTGACTCTCTGTCCCTCACTTGCTGAGGTCCCTGGGGTGTCCTGTGTCATCCCCTGCCAGGTCCCTGGACTGGCTGTATGAAGAGCTTGTCGTTTCTGGGCTTCTAAAGAAGAGTGACAGGGTGGCGTTGAAAGACTACATCGGTGAGTCCCTCCCCGTGCCTGCTCCAAGAGAGGTCCCCCATCCCCAGTCAGGCCTCTTGGGTCCCCCTCTAGAGTCCCCCCACAGCCAAGCGACACTCACCAGGCTGCCTGCCCTCTCCCCCCAGGAGACTGCCTCTACCTGGGGTCTGCACTGATGCTGGCTAACAAGCTGTCCATGCCCTCCCTGTCTGATGTGCAACAGAACATGGCCTTGTATGGAGTCCTTCAGCTGGGTGAGGCCTAGGGAAGAAGGGCCCACGCTGGGTGGGGGCTGGGGTTCAGGCAAGGTGGGCACAGCCAGGTAGGCACAGCCAGGCCAGGCTTCCCCTCCCCAGGAGCCATAAGTCCCTGTTGGACTCCTGCCTTCCTTGGGCCCTGCTGGACATCACCCTAGAAATTGAATGAGCCAGGCCTAGTGGCACATACCTGTAATCCCAGCACTTGAGAGGCTGAGGCAGAAGGATTCCCTCAAGTTTGAGACCAGCCTGGGCTCCATAGTGAGATTCTCATCTTCTCCTTGGGCTGCCTCCTTCCTCCAGGCTCCTCAGACATTCACTCCCTGGCTCCCCTCATCCGATCCATCCTCCTGGTGGACCCCTCCGGCACAGGGAAGAAGATGCTGGTCCACGCCGTGTGCACAGAAACAGGGGCCAACCCATTCGACTTGTCACCTGGAAACCTGCAGGGCAAATACCCTGGCAAGACCGGGGCATAGATGATTGTCCACATGGTCTTCAAGGTCTAGAGCCCCTGGGCTTCACGTTTCTGGGTCTAGGCTGTGACATCAGAGTTAGGTGGGCTTTATGCTCCAGGGTCACCTTTCTGCCTGTGGCTGGGGTTTCATGTCTCCCCACCAAGCCCTGCTAGGAGCTTGGCTTCTCCATGCTGGGAAAGGTGAGGAGGCAGAGCAGTTTCTTTTCACGGTAAGATGGGGTATTGCCAGGCTTGGTGGTGCACGCGTGTGATCCCAGCACTTGGAAGGCTGAGGCAGAAGGATTACTACAAGTTCAAGGCCAGTTCTGGCTATATAGGGAGTTCAAGGCCAGCCTGCACTACAAAGTGAGACCCTGTCTCAAAAAAAAAAAAAAAAAAGATGAAGTGTAATGTGGTCCCCTTACCCGCCATGGAGGACAATGACTCTACTTCAAACTGAGTGACGTGAAGGTGCAAAGGGCTGGGAGGATGTGGGAAGTGCAGCTGGGACCTCAAGGTGAACCTAAATCCTGGGGACCTACCAGATGCGGACAAGGCCCTTGCCCAGGGGCATCTTCTGTCTCATTGCTGCCCTGGTCTGTCCAGGTGGCCCGGCTGCTCCAGCCCTCTGTGATCTAGATCGGAGATGCCGAGAAAAATTTCTCTAAGAAGATCCCAAAAGAAGAGAGGCAGGTGAGGAGCAGGGGCAGCAGGCAACAGGGCTGCTACCTCAGACCAGCCCCCTCCTTCTGGAAGCCCGGCCCGCTCAGGTTGCCCTGGGGCTGGGCGTGGGCCGTGTCCCAACCCTGGACCTTCCTGGCTGGATGGACCCAAAAGGCATCAAGAAAGACCTGGGCAAGGCCATGCAGGTGCTGAGTCCAGGAGACCTCGTGATACTCATAGGAACCACGGAGCAGCCGCAGCTGGTGGAGATGAAGGGGCTCTGCCAGCTGTACGAGTGCATCCTCTTTGTGCCCTGGCCCGACTATGCTGCCCGCTATGGTGAGGCCAGGTACATGGGGCTGGGGCTGAGAAGGCGTCCTGCACCTCTCTTTCCCTGCCGCTGTTGCCTGGGGACAGGCCAGGGCTCTTGGCCCCAGGGAGAGGAGCTGCTCTGCAGAGACACCAAGCTCCATCCCGCTGACCCTCCCCTCAGGCCCGTGCTCTCCTGCTGCCCACGGTGCTCTGGAAGCATATGATAGAGGCCCGGGCACAGGTGACCCTGAGCTTGGACCTCAGTGCCCTGGCCAGGGTGTCCAATGGCTACACATCGGGTCACATCGTCCAAGCCACCGAGATGGTGCTGAATGAGCGGCAGATTCTGCAGCTGTCCAGGCGGCCCCTGGGGGCCTCTGAATTCCTGGTGCAGCTGGCGAAGCTGAACCCAGTGTACTTCGAGGAGGAGGAGTCCCTGAAGGTAAGGCTACTGGGCTTGGGGGCACAGGAAAGAGCCTTAGGGGTGGGGAAAGGGGTATGCCCCCCTACGATGGCTGACACTGTTTCCTGGAGTTGTTTTTTGTTTTTTGAGAGAGTCTTGTTATGTAGTTCAGACTGGCCTTAAACTCACTATGTAGCCCAGGCTGGTCTTGAACTCACAGTGATCTTCCTGCCTCAGCCTCCTGAATGCTAGTGTTTGGTGGGGAACAAGGTGAGCCCCCGCTGGGACAGGACCCCTAAACTCTGAGGACAGGAGGACATAGGACCCATAGAGAGAGGGAAGTGAGGGCAGCCAGCGACCTGAGGGTTGGCCTGGTGGACTCACCCCCTGCCCCTGCCAACCCAGGACTGGTACTTCAAGACCCCACTGGGCAAGAAGAGAATGAAACTTAGCAAGGGCCAGTTGGAGGCTGAGGAGACCAAGGTGGCCAAGGAGAAGAAAAGGAAGTGAAGACTGAGACCTGATGGTGTCCATGACGGGCAGCAATGATGGACAGGGCCCAGGGCCCAGGGACAGGGCAAAGCATAAACACCAGGGTGGCAGGGACTCTGTCTCATCCATCCATCTCCATGCCCTCTCTCTGCCCTGCCCTGCCCAGTCTCCTCCCGCTCCCTCTGCATCCAGAGCCTGCCCTTGGCCTTCGGGCCACCATCCTACATCCTCCTGTCCTTGTCATCTTCCTGTGCTGACCCCCAGCTGTCTTGCACCTTGAGGTACTTAAGGGAGAAAAAATAGGAAAGGAAGGAGAGAGGGAAAGAGGAGAGGAGCAGAAGGAAGGGATGCAGTGAGAAAAGAGAGAAGCTCATCTGGAGCCAACTCTCCTTGCTCCTAACCCTGCTGGCGAGGGCTCCTTGGGTGACCTGGGCCTCGGTTTCTTCGCTTGGCAAGTTTGGGAGTGTTTGGTCCAACTAATCTCTAATTCCCCTCCTGCCCCATGGTTCCATTGTTCTGGCAGATGTGTTTGTGGAGTCAGGAAGGTGCTTGGGTGGCCCTGGAGACAGGCGCCTCGGGACAGGCCGGATTTGGGTGGAACCTATGCCCCCTCGCAGCCATCTTTATTTTCACCTCCCCAGAAAGACCCTCCTGCCACCCCATCTGCTGTGTACCCCGACCCACCGCCAGTGGGACACAGATCCTGCCTAGGGTGCGGGTCCGCCTGTGAGTTCCCCTTGCTGGGGACAGAATGGCTCAGGGGTGGGTGGTCAGGGAACTCTAGAGAGTCCTAGTGCTCTCTTGCAAGAGGCAGATAGGAATGGGGTGGGCACCTGGTGGGGAGAGGAGGAAATGACTTCCTTCCCTAGGCCGTCCTCCCCTACTCTGCTCCTCCCAGCCCGGTACTGGGGCAGGGCCGGCCAGGGCTATTTATGGGGCTATTTATGGCTGGCTGCATGTGCTGCCCTGTTCCTTTCATGCCAGCCCTGCCTGGCCAGGGCCCAGCACCCCGCCCAGTCCACTCCCAGCATTGCCCCGAGTTCTGCTGCTCTAGCTTCCTTGCCCAGGAGGCAGCCATGCCCAGGGAAAGGGACTCTTCACCCTTCAGGGGACACCGTCTGGAGCACCTCCCCTTCGCCCCTTCCCAGCCAGCCTGGGGGACCCCTCCTTGGCCTTCACCACTGCCCTGCCAGGACATGGCCCTGCAGAATGCTCTCTACACTGGGGACCTGGCGAGGCTGCAGGAGCTCTTCCCCCCGCACAGCACGGCCGACCTGCTGCTAGAGAGCCGGGCCTCAGAGCCTCGCTGGAGCAGCCACCAGAGGGGTGAGGGGCCGTCCGCCAGTGGGGACATGCAACTGGGACTGGGCTGACCACCGTGGCACCGAAGCCTGAGGCTCAGGGAAGAGGAGAAGCCCCTGGCTGCTGCTCCCCACCCCAAAACCTTGGCCCAGAAGGGAAGTCATGTGGAGCCCAGAATAGCTCCTGCAGACCTCGTGGCCAGGCCAGGCTCCAGCTGGGGACGCAGTGGCCTGGCCTCTGTCTCTCTGAGTTTCCCTCCTCTCTTCCCCTCAGCCTGTGGCCTGAGCCTCTCCTCTTCCCACTGCCTGCCCTTCCTGCATGCTCATGAGCTGGTCCCCGGATCAGTGCCAGGGCCAGGGGCAGCCCCTGGGTGACAGACACACCCTCTGCGCCAGGCTGGTGGAAAGGCCCCATGGAGGTTCTGAGGAGCTCCCAGAGTCCGGCCCGGGACCCATTGCCACCCGCACGGCCTCAGGACCTGCCCTTGCCTTCTGGCAGGCAGTGCTGGCAGGGGATGTGGGCTCTGTCTCCCGAATCCTCTCAGACTCCCATACCAGCCTGGCTCCTGACTCGGTCTTTGATACCAGCGACCCAGAGCGATGGAGGGATTTCCGCTACAACATCCGCGCTCTGAGTATGGGCTGGGGTCCCAGGGTCTTGGGGTCCGAGCGGGGGAGGGGTGGATGCATGCCGAGCACTGGGCTCCCTCTACCCGCTCCTCCCTCGGGATCTGAGGACTGTGTGGCCCTCTCCCTAGGACTCTGGTCCCTGACGTACCAGGAGGAGCTGACCACCCCACTGCACGTGGCCGCCAGCCGCGGCCACACGGAGGTTCTGCAGCTGCTGCTGCGGCGCCGGGCACAGCCAGACAGCGCCCCGGGGGGCCGCACGGCCCTGCATGAGGCCTGTGCCGCGGGTCACACTGCCTGTGTCCACGTGCTGCTGGTGGCAGGTGCTGACCCCAACCTCCCTGACCAGGACGGGAAACGTCCCCTGCATCTTTGCCGGGGACCTGGCACCCTCCAGTGAGTGACCCCTCCCCCCCCCAGGCCCCTCTTGGGGGAGGCGAGGAGACTGCTCAGTGAGGGCGGGGGCAGTGAGGTTGGGGAGCACCAGGCTTGAGGGGCTGGGGTAGAGGAGCTGGGTAGCAATTACTCCCCATCCGTCAGCACCCCACACTTGGTGCCTGGACTTGGGACAGTTTTCTAGTTGCCCGGGGTGGGGGGGGTCAGAGGGCTGTGGCAGGGTCCAGCTTCGTGGCCTGCCCTAGGGAGATCATCATGCCTGGTGGTAATGCTGTGAGACCTTCATCCTTTCTGAGCTTCCCCAATGTCCCAGAGGCCGTACTAAGCGCAGTAGCAGCTAAGTCACAGTATTGCCCTCAGGGAGCTTGCTGTCCAGTGACCCAGACCCTGGAAAAGGCAGAGGTGCCACCGAGGCCCTGTTGTTGTCCCCTGTGGGCAGGCAGGTGTGCACTCCCACAAGAAACTGATGGCTCTACCCACAGGTGACCAGGTGTTATTTACTGTGAGGCATAGTCCTCTGCAGTGACCTAAACAATTCCGATGTATGTTTAAGGAACTGGGAGGATGAGTCCCCTCTTCACATACTTTAGTGAACACAGAATCTAGACAAAGGCAGCCCTGGCAAATCTATGAACAAACTACGCACCAAAGTCCCTGTCTTCCCTGATGCCACATCTGCCCAGTTCCACATGTTACCCTTGAAAAGCACCACGTTGTCCATCCTTGGGGCTCCCCCATGGACCTTGTCCCTCATGTTAACCTGAGCCACCTCCAGAGGACACCAAGGGCTTAATGAGGTTACAGCTGAAGGTGTGCTCCATACCAACCCCAGGCCAATAGAAATCTAACGTGAACCATGGACACAGTTGAAAACTTTCCAGTAGCCCAATCAAAACATGAAAGAGAGCCGGCCACCTGTGTAATCCCAGCTACTTAGGAAGCTGAGGCAGGAGGATTGCAAGTTTGAGCCCAACCTGGGCAATTTATCGAGACCCTGTCTCAAAATTTAAAACAATCATAATAGGTATAACTCATAATACGTTGGGTTCTGTCCCAAGTACTGGAAAAAAGAAAAGGAATAAATAGGTAAAGTTGATTTTTAAAATTATAAAATATGCATAACAAAATTGATCATTTAAACCATTTTAAATTGTACAATTGAGCTCTGTACCCATTAAATAGTAACTTCCCTTCCCCCTGGCAACCACTATCCTACTTTTTTTTTGGTACTGGGGATCGAACTCAGGACCTTGCGCTTGCAAGGCAGGCACCAGAACCACTGAGCTAAATCCCCAGCCCTCTACTTTCTGTCTCTATAAATTTGACCACTCTAGGGACCTCATCTAAGTGGAAATGTGCAGTATTTGTCTTTTCATGCCTGGTTTCTTCTACTTAGTATAATGTCCTCGGGGTTCATCCACACAATGGCAGGTGTTGGAATTCCTTTCCTTTTCGGGGCTGCATGCTATTCTATTGTCTGTAGATACCACACTTTGTTTATCCATTCATCCATTGATAGGCACTTGGGTTGCTTCCACATTTTGGCTGTTGTAGATAATGCTTCTATGACATTAGGTGTACAAATATCTAAGAAACAGGTGATATTCATTTTAATATATTTTATGTAACATGATATTTTCAAAATGTTGATCATTTCAACATGTAATTAATATAAAAATTAATGAGCTTTTTGCCTTCTTTTTGTATATTGAGTCTCCCACACTGGTGTGTTTAACACTGAGGGCACATTTCCACTTGCACTGGCCACACTGCCAGAGGTTAGCACCCACTTGCACCATGCCTATCAGACAACACTGGCCCATAGAACCCCATCTTCTTAGTTCTGGCCACATTTCAGCCCAGTAGTAATCATTCCTTCCTTTATTAATATACAAATGTATTTTTAAAATTATTATGAGCTGGGTGCAGTGGCACACACCTATAATCTCAGCACTCTGGGAGGCTGAAGCAGGAGGATCACAAGTTCAAGCTTAGCCTGGGCAACTTAGCAAGACCCTGTCTCAAGTTAATTAAAAAAAAAAAAAAAGGCTGAGCCCGTAGCTCAGTGCAAATGTCCTGGGTTCCATCCCCCCAAACCCCTCATGTGGTCCTGTTACTATTCACTCTCCCCATTTTATACACATGGGGACCAGAGCCAGAAGAGGCCACTGGTGCCTTGGTGCGCACACACCGTGAGCCCAGGTGCTTGTCACCAGCCTGCACACCTTCCCTCACTGCCACCTTGGAGCAAGCCTGCTGCTTTGGGTCTTGGTTTGGGGCGTCCCCGGCCCCATCTCCTTTGTCCACTTCCAGCCCCAAGCCGAGCTCCCTCCTCATATCCCAGCATGCAGATGCCCTGTGGCCCCGGCCCCGAAAGCCAGCTGTACCTGTCATTAGCTGTGTGAACCTGCTAATGACCTAACAGCCCTACCAGCCTCAGTGTCCTCTGTGGCGTGAGTCATGAGTCTCCCGTGGGACCGTGGCAAGGCCTGGAGAAGGACGCAGCGCTGACCATGTGACAACTCCTCATGACCTTGGTTCCCATAGAAGAGGCAGTGGATGATTCCTGCAGAAAGTATTTGGGCTTTAAAAAGGCCATTAAACCAGGTGTGGTGGCACTTGTCTATAATCCCAGTACTTGGGAGGCTGAGGCAGGAGGATTACTATGAGTTTAGGGCCAAACGGGGCTACATACTGAGGCCCTGTCTCAAAAAACCAAAAAACAAACACAATAAATAGACAAATAAAAAGGCCACTGTTCATCCTGCAAAATGAACAGTGCTGGGATGGCCAGGGATGGTTTGCTGTGCTCAGAGCAGCAGCCAAGTGGGACCCGGGCCCAAGTTCCTCCACTGCCACCTTGCCCTTCCTAGGTGTGCGGACCTGCTGCTGAGGTTCGGAGCGCAAGTGGATGGGCGGTCTGAGGAGGAAGAGGAGACCCCCTTGCACACGGCTGCCCGGCTTGGCCACGTGGAGCTGGCAGACCTGCTGTTAAGACGGGGTGCGTGTCCAGATGCCCGCAATGCCGAAGGCTGGACGCCGCTGCTGGCTGCCTGTGACACTCGCTGCCAATCCTCTGCTGATGCTGAGGCCACCTCAGCCCGCTGTTTCCAGCTGTGCCACTTGCTGCTCTCCGCTGGAGCCGACGCCGATGCCGCCGACCAGGACAGGCAGCGACCCCTGCACCTTGCCTGTCGCCGAGGCCATGTGGCCGTGGTGGAGCTGTTGCTGTCCTGTGGCGTCAGTGCCAATGCCATGGACTATGGGGGACACACGGCCCTGCACTGCGCTCTGCAGGGCCCGGCTGCAGCCCTGGCCCAGACCCCAGAGCATGTGGTGCGGGCTTTGCTCAACCACGGTGCTGTCCGAGTGTGGCCGGGGGCCCTGCCCAAGGTACAGGGGTGTGGGCAGGGAGGGGCCACAGTGGGGAGGGCGCGGGGACACCAAGGCCTGTGCTACAGCTGGCTTTGCTGTGCAGTGTGGACCACGTGGGGACACAGGTTAGTTCCTCCCATCTTTTCTTCAACAGGTAAGCAAAACCCAGGAGTGGTAAAGACCAGGACTCAGAATAACAAAGTGTGTGTGTGCATGTGTGTACACGTGTGTGCATGAATGTGCATGCATACACACGTGTTCACATGAGTGGACTGCGTGGGTGTCACATGCATGTGACGACAGTGGATTATAAAGGATCCAAATGACAGAACAGGCAGGACGAATACGGGCGGCAGTGAGGGCTGCAGGTTTCCACAGGGGCAGGCACTGAAGGACATGGCACCTGAGGTGCTCCAAGTGGCAGCAGGACCGAGTACATGAGGGGTATGCTGGACATGGGCAAGACCCCCCAGGGTGGAGTGTGAGCCCCTTTCCCAGGGCTCCTGAGCATCTGCGAAGGGATGGATCCCGCTTTCTCAATGCATAGCAAGACACGTCCCTGGACCAGCTGCCGCCATCCTGGTGGCTGTGAAAAACGCCTTTCACTGTCAGTTTTCAATTTATATCTTACTTTAAGTTCATTTCCCCAAAGTGAGTTCAACAGAAGCCCGGTGCAGCAGAGTCCCTGGTGGGGGGCCTGGACCCCTGCAGTGTTGGGCCTGGAGGCTGGGGTGGGGACACTCATTCTGATTCTCCAAGAGACCAAAGAGACAGAACCGACCTTCTGGAGCGTGGCAGACTGTGGGAGGTCCCCTCTGGCCCTGCTGGGGTCTCGCCCCACCCCCCCTCCCTGCTCTGGGCCACCCCTGCTGTCCCTGCCTCTCCCCTTTGCCCACAGACCTAGAAGCATCTGTCTGGATTCCTAAGCAAGACCAAATAATTAAACAGCCCGAGAGTTCGGCAGATTGGTCTCCCCTTTGGGAAAATACAAGAAAATCAACAATTAACACTAATTAATCTCCTATTAACACCAGATAATTAGGAGACGAGCAATTCCCTGTAATCTGACGGTGGCTCTGACAGCTAATGATTTCCCTGCCAGGCGGGGCAGGAGGAGGACTTGGCACTGCGAGCGGATTTCCCAGACCCCACTCCTGTCTCCTCAGCCTGTCTTCAGGGACAGAGAGACCAGCAGAGCAAAGTGCCCACTATCTTTTCCCTAGTGGGAAAGCAACCAGGCACGATACCTGTGTGACCCAGCGAGTTGCTCACTCTCTCTGGTCCCATGTCCTCATCTGCACACAGAGATAGGACAGTTTGCCAGCTTCACAGGGCTGGCGTGAGCAGTGGGGTTAAGCATGAAGCCTTTGGACACAGCCCTGCCTACAGCTAGTGCTCAGTCCATGTTGGCCCAGGTTACTCCAAAGGAACGTGGTGGGCGTGGTGATCAGCCAGGCATCTCCATTAAAAGGAACATCAGACATGGCTAGAAGACCAGGCTTGGCCCACTCTGATGAGCACCGTGTAGGGGCAGATGAAGAAGCAGGGGCCTGGGTGTGTGGAGCGCTTGCTCCAGGGCCCCCTGTGCCCTAGACAAGGCCTGGTCTCTCACCTGCTCCCAGTGCCCCCAGCATGCCCTGTGGAGGCAGGGGTCCAAGCCAGTGACGTTGTAGGCAGGGATGTTTGGGGTGTGTAATACCTCTTGGCTGATTCAGATCCACACAGGGCCCAAGGCCACTGCCTCTTGAATGAGGTCCAACAAGAGGAGGCATGGGTGGGCATCACATGGACACTACGGCACCCACAAGGGACACGGCTGCCTTTCTGACCACCCTCCCTGGGCTGCCCTCGCTACAGGCCTTGCCGCCTCAGAGACCACCCCATCTAGGAAGTGCCCTCAACCCCACACTGGGCACACAGGAGGCCTGCAGGAGATGGCTTCAATGAGAATGAGTCTGGCTCCAATTCCATCCCTGTCCTTGAGAACCCCGCACTGCTTCCATGGGCATCCGGCCTCTGCTTGTCCTCCCTCCTCCCTCAGTGCCCTCAGAGTCCAAGCCCCTCTGTGCTCCTTCCTTGCCACCCTGCCCCTCCTGCAGCTGTCTCTAGCCCTCACTCTGAACTGGGTAGATTCTGCTTTATACATTGATTGGTTATCTGCTCAGGAGCTCAGCTGCAGGTCCAGGAGCCCTTTCCAGCCAGCAGAAAAGCTAACTCACAGCCCTGTGGAGGTAGATGGGGGAGCAGAATGGTGTAGTAGTTAAGGGCAAGAAGCCCTGTGACGGCTTAGACTGCTGGAAAGACAACCTGAGCAAGTTACCTTTCTGTGCTTCAGTTTCTCTTGTCTATAAAATTTAGACAATAACAGTCTATACCTTGTAGGGATGAGAACCAAGAGTTCATCTGTGCAGAGTCCTAAGAGAAGCATCTGGCATATGCTGTGCATATCAGATGTGGTAGCTATGGGGTTGGGGGTATAGCTCATCCCTGGCACCTCCCACCAAAGAAGAAAAAGAAGTGTTAGTGTTGTATCAGTTTCCTGGAGCCACCACCACTAAGCACCACTAAGTCACCCGGTGACTCAGAGTAACAGAAGGGAGGTGTCAATAGGGTGGGTCCCTGATGTGCTATACCATCTCTTCCTAGCTCCTCATGGTTGCCACAGTCCGTGGTGTCACTCTACTGCCTGCCTTTGTGGTCATATGGCCTTCTCTGTGTGTGTGTGTCTGTGCCTCCATTTTATAAGGATGAGATTAGGCCCTAAAGATCTCACTCTGACTCCATTACATCTGCAAAGACCCTGTTTCCAATTGAGGTCACATTCCTAGGTACCAGGGTTAGGACTTCCGTTTATCTTTTTTGTTGTTGTTATGGGGGATAGAACTCAGGGCCTTGCACTTATGAGGCAGACAGCAGCACCACTGAGTTTCTGTTTACCCTTTTTGAGGAACAAAATCCACCCCCCAGCAGCTGTCTGGTAGCCCTGCATGCGCCTACAAAGCAGGGCTGACACATCTCTGCCTCCTCCAGGTGCTGGAGCGCTGGTGCTCGTCCCCAAGGACCATCGAGGTCCTGATGAACACCTACAGTGTCGTGAGGCTTCCCGAGGAGGCAGTGGGCCTGATACCTCCTGAAATGCTGCAGGTCAGACTTCAGCCTGGCCCTGAGAGATTCCTGTCCCTTAAAGGGCAGCCCTATTGGTCCCCCAGAGAAACAACCCAGGGACCCGCTCCCTCCCCAGAGGAAATGGCACAGAATTCACTCTAAGAGGCTCTGGGAGATGCCCTGCTAGCCACCCTACCACCTCCCATGGATGAGCCTTGCTGAGCCCTCCTTCTGCCCCCAGAAGCACCAGCGCTTCTACTCCTCGCTCTTTGCCCTGGTGAGACAGCCGCGATCCCTGCAGCACCTGAGCCGCTGTACGCTGCGTGCGCACCTAGCAGGCTGCCTGCCTCTCACCCTGCCCCGCCTGCCCCTGCCGCCCCGCCTACTCCGCTACCTGCAGCTCGAGTTCGAGGATGTGCTGTACTAGGTGAGAGCGCTGGGCTCTGGGGATGGGCAGGAGGCAGCAGAGGGGTTGGGGCGGGCCCTGACCTGAAGCAGGTCCCCCAGGGCCAGTGGACACTCGGAAGCCACACATCTTGTTCCAGACGTGCACCGCCTGTGGGGGCCTGAAGCATATGCCCCAGCCTGCAGCAGGTGGCCCAGGTGGCAGCAGATCCATCTCCACGGAGGTGCTCCGATCCCCACCTGAGAGAGGTAGACACTTCACAGCGGCCAGGTGACCTCTGATGACCAAGAGCAAGTGACATCATCCTCTTGGGGCTCGCCGGGGGGGCCCCTCTAGTCTGTGCAAACTCTGTGTGCACATTAAAATCTCCAGGCTCTTTGGTGCCTCCTCCAACAAGACTTGCTTAGGCCGACGCCCTGGCAGGGCCGTCAGGATGGACATTCCCGGGTTGCCAGATCCACCCCATGTGCCAGGTCCCCTTTCTCCCTTTCTCACCCACCAGCTACGGAAGAAGGCCCAGGCCGACCTGTCCCACTTCTCGTCCCATGAGATAACGAATTGTCACCAAGAATGTATTGGCAAATGCCTGCCGGGTAGGTGGTGCAGAGGGGACAGGGTAGTAAAAGAGGGAGGAGGGCCTGTCCGGGAGCCACAGAGCAGCCAATCAAGTGTACTGTGATCCGTGATGTCAAGGGTCCTCGGACAGTTCCGGGCTCCGAAATGCGCATGCCCTGAAGCGCGCAACTTTTCCCTCCAACTGCTGTGGGGGCGGGATGGGGGCGTGGCCTGACGGAAGGGCAAAGCCTGGTCGGAGCAGGGTCCAATGGAAGGGCTTGGCCTGCTCGGAGGGGCGTGGCCTGGGTGAGAGAACAGTTTGCAGAGATAATCTGAGTTTGAAGCCCGGGACTTTGAGGACAAGCGGAAGTGAGCTGCCCAGGAAGTGAGCCAGCCCTCACGTATCCTGGATCGACCAGCCCTCCTGGGCTTCAGGTTCGGGTTCTGGACCGCCCCAAGGTGGAGACACAGGGCCAGTTTGCTCCTTGCACGCCTAAGTTCCAGGCCCCACAGGCGTGGGGTTGGGGGGACCCAGCCTTGCCCTCCGCCGAGCAGACAGGAGCAGGTATCACACCGGAGAAGCCTAGGGGGACATAGAGGGTGACGGGAGAGTAGCCTAGGAACTATTTTAGTAGGTGACAGGGAAACGCACTCATTAAGGAGGTGACATTTAACCTCAGGTCTGATGACAAGGAACCAGACCTGTGGGTAGAGTGAGGAAGAGCAGGAGAGCTCCCTGAGCGGACAGAGGTCTTAGAAGATCACTTTGAGTTGGCATTGTGGCACCTGCCTGTGATCCCAGCATTCTCAGAGGCTGAGGCAGGAGGATCGCCATTTTGAGTCCACCTGAGCAATTTATTGAGGCCCTGTCTCCAAAAAAAGTGCAGGACCCCCAGTAATCCCTGGTACCACCAAAAAGAAAAAAAGTCACTTTGGCTGGCTGCTGAGTGGCTTGGAGTAGAGGAGGCCACAGAGAATCAGGGAAAATAGTTGGGAGGTGACTGTACCATTTCAAGCAAGGAATGAGGTTCTAAGTAGTAAGCGAGATTTGGGGTTTTTTATGGGAACTGATGGAACTTGACCGGGGCCAGAAGAGGGCCTTAGGGTCACTTAGGATGGACTGGGAGTAGGGAAGGTGTGTGAGGGAAGCTGGGGAGTGGGGAGGACAGGGGACAGGGAGGACCTGCCCTTCCTGCCAAGCAGGGGTGCATGTCCAGGGGGTCTGAGCTCAGACAGAGGGGAGAGTCAACCCCTCCCCATCCAGGTGGGGGGAGGCATGAAGCCGGGGGACTTGCATCCCTGCTACCCTGGGACTGTAAAGGACCACTGAGGGGCAGGGGGTGCTTGTGCCTTATGACCCCCTGCCAGCTGGGCAAGGGACACCCCATATCTTTTGGGGGGATGGCTGGGACTCACTAATGGAGCAGACATGGGGCTGGAGGCCTCCCTGTCTTTTGGGCTTAAACAGCTGGTAGATGATGGTGCTAATTCCTGAGGTGGGGACAGCAGCACCAGGAATCAAAAGGGCTCTGCTGGCTCTGCTAAGCCGGAGCTGCCTGACAGACATCACAGAGGGCTCGCAGTGCAGAGGGGTGAATAAATGGGGTTCACTGGCTGTAAAAGATGTTCAAGAGGTTCTGTTCTAAGAGGTCCGACCTGACTCTCAGGAAACAACTTTCCTGAGGGTTCTGCTTATGACTTTTGATGGAAATTCTATTTTAGTCCATCCACTGTTTTCCTGTTTTGTTTTTTTGTGACAGGGCCGCGACACGTAGTCCAGGCTGGACTTCAACTCACTATGTACCCTACACAGGCCTCAAACTTGCGATTCTCCTGTCTCAAGCCTACTGAGTGCTGGGTTTACAGGGGTTCACCACCACACCCGGCTCAGTCCATCCACTTTTTTTTTTTTTTTTGGTACCAGGGATCAAACTCGGGACCTTGCACTTGTGAGGCAGATGGCGGAACCACTGAGCTAAATCCCCGGCACCTACAAGTCCATCCACTCTTGCTCATTCTCTGCTTCCTGAGCCCCAGGTGTTAGGTACTAGACATAGGGCTGTGCATGAGACATGTTCTTGCCCTCAGTGAATTCTCCATCGATCCCAGGAACAGTGTGGGAATTAATCACAACATAAGGAGCAATGAACAGAAGGCAAAACAACTGTGGGCACAGGGACTGAGGGCAAAGAGGAAGGCAAGGAGTGGGGTAGGGGGGCATGGTGCCTGCTCTCCAGTGATGAGAGGGGAGGGGGTTGGGTGTGGGAGGGCTTGGCTGAGTGGGGAGGGAAAGAAAGGCGGTGGAGCAGTGGTCACTATGTGGAGGCCGTGCCTAGCACTGTCCCTTGCCAAGGGGATGCCAGGAAGGTCCCCTCTGGGGTCAGACAGGAGACACTGGCAAGCCAGGGAGCTTCCTCCCCAGCCTCCTGGCTGTCGGTCCCGCAGGCCCAGAACCTCTCCCCGGTAATTGCTTTCCATAATGTGTTTGCTCCAAACCAATTTCACGCCTCCGTGAGGACTCCGCCCTGCACTGGAGGCGCGGACCTCTCTACCAACAGCCTACTCGCGTGTGCAAACGTGGGCTCACACAGCACGCATGCAGGGCGACAGATCCACGGGGTCCGAGGACCTGGGCACAGCAAAAATGCAGGAGCCTACCCACACACACACTTTAAGACACTCGTGTCCAATCCCCACCCCGCTCTGCCCAACTGGTGCATTCACAGAGAAGCACCCAGAGCTTGGCTCGCTCGCTTGGTCGCGTTCCTTTGCCCTGCGCGCGACTCTTGCCTAACACCAGGGGGCGCTGTAGCACCCCACGCTTCCCTCGCGGTGACTGCAGTCTCACGCTGCTGCCACCAGAGGGGACCCGCGCACAGAGCCCAGTGCTGCCCACTGGTCGGGGACTCTCTCCAGCCAATGAGTGAGGCCGAGATGTAGACCTGTTGGCTTTGACTTCAGAACATTTTGCTCCTTCTTAGCGTCCTAGCGGGGACCCCAGTGCCTGGAGAGGGCAGATGATGAGGTTCTACAAGGACATGAGTACTGCTCAGGATCCAGTAGGAAAACCGGAGTTTCCTGCGGGTAAGGAATGTGCGAGCCACAGCATCTGTCCTTGGTACTGATGGTCGTGCTGGGGGAGCTGCTGATTTGTAAGATGAGTCCTTCCATTCCGGACCACTCTACCCTTGCCTTTTCACGGCAGTAAGAGCTCATTTTGAACGGCGTTTCCTCATGTTCACGTGATCCTTGTCTTGTGGCTGGCTGCACAGAGAAGAAAACAGTCACTGTCTCGCACACATGGAGAAGCTGAAGAGGGGCCAAGGCCCCTCTGCACTGAGAGGGGCAGGCTCTTTACTTCCAGTAGTGGCTTTTACATTTGCTATGTAGCCTCCGTTCCACACTAGATGAAAGGGCAGCGAAAAGAAGTGGCCGCAGAAGTTGCCCCTAAGCAGGTGATGCTAGCTACTGAGTGAGTGTCCAGAACTGCGAAGAAGTCACACTTCATGGCCCCAGCACGGCGAGGGAACAGATTGAAAATACAAATAGGTTAGAACACACAGTATAGAAGACAGGGTCTCACAAGTATGAGCCACACCAGATCAATACCAAATCCTCATGGTCTCACAGCTCAGCTCAGAGCTGGTGGCCCACTGGGTTGTGTTGGCACCAGGCTATAAACCTGGACTCTCTTTGCCTGCCTGAGCAAAGAGTCTATTTCCTCATATAGTTGTGAACAATAGCTCTTGCCATGAGCTAAGTGACATCTTTAAGATCAGAGGCTCTTTACCCTTGACAACGAAGTGTCCCTTCTGTACCACCAGAGTGACAGGCTTAAGTGGCCTTTTACTGGTGAGACTGGCAGGAGGGCAATTTCAATATATATATCCTTTTGAGCTTTTGGAATTTTCTATGATCTGATTTTATTACCTATGCAAAAAAATGAATGCAATTACTTTTAAAAATGGCTCTTCTTTATGAGTTATTTGATTGGTTTGGAAACTGCACATACAGCTTTAATTGCAGTAATTGTAGCCTGAAGTTCCCTCCATAATTTCTCAAGTCAATAAGCCTCTATTATGTAGCCAACCCTGTAAAACCATCACACCAAGTACTTGACCCCTCACTTTCTTAGTACAACACGCATCTTTTTTTTTTTTTTTTTTTTTTGGTACCGGAGATCGAACTTGGGTCCTTGTGCTTGCAAGGCAGGTGGCAGAACCACTGAGCTAAATCCCCAGCCCAGTACAACACACTTCTGAAGTCTGGTCTTCCGAACTGATGTTCGGGGAAATACACGGTTGATTTCACAGAGTTGTTCTGAAGACTGTATTTAGACAGAATTTATCCTCCCACTTTAGTCGTGAAATAGGGGTTCCCAGAACTAAACAGAAGGACCTCTTCTTTCTCCACGGTGACTTATTTCTCCAGACCCATCCCTTAGAAGTTTCTCTGAGTTTAACATAGAGCTCAAGGTAGCTCAGGACTGCACAGAAATGACACTTTTCCATTCACTTCTCAGTCGAGGAAAAACGCAAGAAAGGGCCCTTCTTGAGCCCTGTCCTCTCCCTCGGTGCCATCCTGTTGACTGTGTCTTCCAGGGCACTGATTTTAAGTCCATCAGCCAGATGACTGTGTTCACAAGACCAACGCTCCTGATTGGAACCAATGTCAGAGACTCTGGGCCCTTCCTGCTCTGCTCTGTCCCAGTGGGCAGCTCTGGGCTCTTTGGTACAAGCTTTCCTCCTTACCTGGACCAAATCGCTTGTCCTACCTAATGTGTCTCTTCCTAAACTCGCCTGGTTTTGCTATTCTTCATTTTACCAGCGCTGCTCCCCCTGGCCCCAGCTGAATGACAGTTTGCAAGTGACCCAGTGATGCTGGCTTTGGCCAGGCTGGCTCTATGTGCTAATGCTGGGGTCTCTCTCTGCTGTCAACTTCCCCGACTGAAGCCTCTTTTACCCACTGACCTGAGCTGCCTATGGAGCCAAAGTCCCTGTGACTTTTGCCTCTAGATTGACAACTCCACTGCTGGGAATCAGGAGAGGGACCATAAAAGGAGCCACCATTTCCGTATCTGAGAATGGGGGAGGTGAGCAGAGTCATCCGCAATTAGCGGATAATTAGCGTTGCTGACCCTCGCGGCTCATCAGCACTCCTGGGGCCAGCCCCCAGCAATCAGCCAGGGCAGGTCGAGAGTGTCAGGCCCGGGAATGAATAGGGCTCATCAGCGGCGCCGGAGCCGGAGCCAATCAGGGAAATTAATAGCAGGAGAGAGGGAGAGAGGGAGGGAGGGAGATGAGACAGACAGACAGACAGGAGATAAAGACAAGGAATGAGAAAACAACAACAACAATAAAACAGTAAGACGGACTGAGATAGGGATGAGAGATGGGGAAAAGCTACTCAAGTAAGAGGAATCGGAATGAAAACGAAGGCTGGAAGGGGGAGAAGCGGGAGAGGAAGGAAACGATGGTAAAGGATGGGAGAGAGGAGAAGGGGGCGAGGTGGAGGAATGGTAAGTGCGTGGTAGGGCGCTACTCGAGGAAATAACCCCGCAGGGCTCAGAGGAAGAGGTTGAGGGAAGTTGGCCCCTGAGGAGGGGACGGGCGGATGCCAAGAGAATAGAGGCCAAGGAAGAGCACAATCGGTGGAAGACTCCTCCACAGGGGAGGAAGAGGCCCGGACCCTGGCCTAGGCTGCCTCCCGGCCCGAGCGCGCCCCCTGCCGCCGCGCCCGGGCTCCCGGGGTCCGCGCCGTGTGTTCGCTCCGGCCGGGGATGCACGCGGGGGGCGGCGCGGTCCCACGGAGAGCGGGGCGGGGCGGGGACGGGGCCGGGCTCCGGGCTGAGCCGTCCGGTCCTCGTCCGGCGAGCCGGGCCGTTGGGTCGAGCTGGGGGCGGGCTGGGTGCGGGTGCGGGGAGGGGACCGGCCCAGCAGCTGCCGCCGCCTCCTCGCCGGCCGGCCGCAAACTTTCACAAAGCGGCGAGTCCGGCCTCATCAATCTCCATTAATAATAGTTGGTTGGGCCGCGGGGGGCGGGCGGGGTCCCGGGCCGCGGCCAGGCGCTGGGAACCGCTGCGTGCAGGGAGCGCGAGCCGGGCGCGGCGGCGGCGGCGACGGCGGCGGCAGCGGCGGGCGGAGGGAGGAAGTGAAGCGTAATTTGAGGAAGATGGATGAGTCCGGAGGGCGACACCCCCGGCCCGCCCCTCCCTCCTTATGAGCGCGGCGGCGCGGCGCCGGAGCCACACTGCGCCG